ACGGCCTTCAAGAGCATTAACGAGCGGGTTGTACGTCTCCGGTAAATTCGACAGCAAAATCGCCACAACAAGATGTTCCTTCAACGGCTCTCCCATGCTGGCTAATCGGTGAACCAACTCTGACGCTTGGACGAGATGCTCTGACATATTCCCGTCATCTATCAGACGCATCGAGCACAATCTCCGCAGTACATGGATCTTGTTCGACAGAGATCCTCGCTTGTGGTAGCCTTTGAGCTTGTCCCACATCTCCTTTACACTAGCAGTTCCCATAATGTGGCACAACTGACCATCTTCTAGCGCCAAACCGATCGTCACAGCAGCAACAACTCCATCCAGAATTTCCGAGTCGCCCAATTAAAATCGTTCAACCACAAACGAAGTGACAGACGGAGCGGCTCGAAAACTTTGGTGACTAATCTGCTATTGCCATTTTTCAGTGTACCACATGGCAACACCACTACTACTGGATTGTACCACATGGCAACACTACTACTAGATTGAACTAGCATTTTCACCAAATGTACTAGAATGTTTTGGTTCTATCTCTTTCACTCTACTCAAAACTGAAATGCATAAAAAAATGACAAAATGATACGCACTCTTTGCACACTGTCAAAGAATCATTGTACACAAAATCAACTTTGTTCAAATCAAAACAAAAATCCTAACCCATCTGGTGGATGATGGCACAAGCTTCTAAGAAAATTCTATTACAGCGAACCACATTATTTTAATTGATTTCTTCACCAGTAAGTCGTCTGTCACTTCGTTTGTGGTTCAACCGATCTAATGTTATCTGCGTCTCGGCAATTTTCCACGAAACAAAAAAAAACACTACGCGCACGGTCAGGCAAAGAAAACAGCTTCACAATCGAGTGAACAAAAAACAATGGTCACAATTCGATAATTTCCACAAAGTGTTCTTTCCTATAAGCTTCTTTTTTTTCGAGTGAAGTGTATCTTCTTCAGTTCAAACAATCGCACTTTTATCATAGAGGTAACTCTAAGACCACTGGGTCCCGAAGAAAATCATTATTATTTTTGGCTCACTCAGTACCAGAACAACGGTCCCAAGCAGTCTCAAGCTATTTCACTCACCCCTGCATGTTCTGCATGAATCCACACACCCCTGATGTTATCTGTCAAACTTTCATAGCGAATCAAAACAAACATAGTGTAGTAATAGAATTTCAACTAGAATAGGGTACGTTAATCGTTTGCTTGGGACCAATAGGCTACTAAAGTGGTGAGCCAATTTAAAATCGTTAGTTTCGTATTGATTGTTGCTTTTACTACTTACTTCCAGCAGATTTTACTGAGGATTTTTCGAAGATTGATCCGCTATTGGAAGATTTTTTGAGCATCCAGAATTGAGATTAAGATGTGGTTCTAGATGCTCAAAAAAATCTCACACTAGCGAATCAATCTTCGTAAAATTTTCTTTCATTTCTCGCAGCTACTGGCATTGAGCCGAGCATCGAGCATCATATTTTTGCAGAGAATATTCAGAATCGTCATCAATCTTCTTTCTATTTACTCAGGTGGTGTAGCGTTCTTGGAAAATGTATTCGGCACACCAGATCAGAAATCATGTGACATTCACCGAAGAAAAGTGTTTTCTATAAGTTTTTAACCATTATAATGAAGCATTTGCATCGTTCTATAACGTGGTAGCAATAACGCAATATGTTCATGTTTGCGACTTGGTCCTAATGAAACTGCCGTATTTCTCGAGAATCAAAACAAAATTATACTCAAATTTGGCTTGCTTAAGGCTGTGTTCCATTTGGTGAATATTCACTAACATTTGACACCTCGAAAATACATTATAATGTTCGAAAATCCCGAAAATCGAAAATCTGTTGTTGATCATCTGATTTTTGAGAAGGTGTTTGTCAAATTTAATTCCTGGTCTGTCAGAAATAAGTTTGGTAGGGGAAAAGTTCTCTTCGGCAATACCTTACTTAACCTATTATCGTCAGGGGGTAAACAACGTCCTTGAGAGCTCAATTTGGCATGTGGATACATTGTGTTTCAGAGCAACTATTGGCCAAATTTGAGTGCTCTAGGACTTTGTTCACCCCCCTGACGATAATAGGTTAAGGTATTGCCGAAGCCAACTTTTCCCCTATTTGAAAATTTTCCATCCGTTAAATTTTAGTGAACATTCCAGGGGGACCCTATCTCTGACAACCACATATAGATACACCATATCGCACATGATTTTTACATTTTTGGGCAATATGACACTTTTGGGCATACTAACTTACTAACAGAGGTACTCGCAGAGGTACGACCAAGGGGTGGTCCGAGGGGGGGCGACTCTATCTACGATGAAGGAAAAATTGTTTTATGCTGTGGTTAGCTGCGCGCACGCTGAGTAGATAGTAAGAAGATTTATGACGATTCTAAAGATTTCCTGCAAAAAGATGATGCACGATGCGAGTAGATGCGAGAAATTAAAGAAGATTTTTCGAAGATTGATTAGCTAGTGTGAGATTTGTTGAGCACCTAGAATTAAGATTTAGATGTGTCGTTCCCCTCGTAATAAACTGACCCTTCCAGAGAGAGATGACCGTTGAAGCATGCAGTAGATTTAAGTAGATTTGCTAAAACAGTAATGGAAGGAAATACTTAAACACGTAGTAGAATGTAGAAATTTATTCCTCTTAGATGAAATGTATGCCCGGAATTTAGCTGCTGATTGGAACAAGCATCCCTATTCTGTGAGTCGTGACACTCTGTCACCAGTGAGGTGAGAAAAATCACGTCGTGTGAAGTGATCCTCCATTTGATTTGGACAGAGAGTCACCTCACACGGCGTAACTTTTGCCACCTCAATAGGGATGTACTGATCAGGTCATTGAACGGATGATTCCTCATGTAATAACTCATCACTGAGAAAATAAATTACTTAGGACTAAAAAAAGTTCGAAGCTCAATCTAAAAATCTCGTTTATAAAGATTAAAAAAAAACTTCCTTGGAAGTGGAAATTGCTTGTCTAAATCAATTCGTTTTACTAGTATGTTGAACAGCGATTGGGTATAAAATTCTGTAGTGATCCGATGGTGATACAGATGAGTGTCCTGATGTGGCTGATACGAGTGTTAACATTTTGAGCGTCCAACTCGGCTGGTTGAATACTCTTGTTAGATGTCTTATTCACGACCAGTTGAAACCCGGATATCGGCTTTTCGTGGGGCCTGACCTGATTAGCAATTGGGAAAGATTTTTTTCTAAAAAATAAATAAGTCGAACTCAAACATACATCAAACTGGCAGTTTCATTGGATCTTACAATTTTTCTCCGAATATCAATCTCACAATCTTTTGCAACTTCAACCGATGCTTCTAAACGGCCATTAATTCGACGTAGAAATGTTTTCTTTACCTTTTCTGTTCAACACTTTTTCACAACACTTTATTATCGAGCCGTAGTAATATGTAAACAAATAACATTGCTGACGTTTACTGTTTTTTGTTCAACGGTCTCTGTGATTACTTCGATGACGATGCGAGTGATGTGACAAAAGATGCAAGATTCGAGAGTAGATGAAAGTAGATGGCACAGATATAAACAGATAGCGTGCGGTAAATAAATATATAAAGATATGTGTGATTAATGATGAGAAGAAGATAATCCAGATGTGTCGCCCCCTCGCCCAAACCCAAAATTTCATCAATTTTGTCACACTGGAACTATTTTAAATAACTACGATTACATTTGCAAAAATCCCTAATTAGCGCCTCTCGGTGTCATTTTGTATGGGAGCGAGCTGTCAGTTTGTCAGTTTAGTGTCAAACAGTGAAGTTATTATTTTGCTTTAAATCATGATTTAAAAATCGAGATGAAAGTGCGTGGGGTTGAAAAAAATATCACTGTGCTCAGAAATCGAAGCTTTTTCAGATGATATATGAAAACCGATATATTTTTCAAAATTAAAGAACCCAATTATGTCACGATAAATTTAGCAAAAAAATACCCCCTCCCCCCCTATCGTGACGTTATTCCTATACCTAATGCATTGCTTGTCACAAAATCTTAGACCACCCCCTCCCCCCTTATAGCGTGACATAATATATGCATCAACCCTTGTTGCCCCCGTGGAAAATTCACCAAATGGAACACAGCCTACACGCTAATTCAATATTGCCAAAATTAGGGTAGAATCCACCCAGATCGGTTAAAACAATAGAGCTAATAAACTATAGAGGAAGAATAGCGCTGCCGTCGCTGTCGAAACATCTTTTCCTTACATCGAATAGGGACACAACTGTCAAAGCGAAAAAAAAACTATGCAGTTTGACAGTGCTGTACCCGGTATTATTCAACATCGGAACAAAGGAAACACCAGCGCTATTCTTCCTCTATAGTATATTAGCTCTATTGTTAAAACTGAACCTACCCAAAAATGAGTAAACTATGTTGAGAGTGACAAGTTGACAAATGAACAAAGTCGATCGGATTCATGTTGATGTTGTCCATTTGTCAACATTCCCAACATAGTTTACCCATTTTGGGTAGGTTAAATCTAGATAGAGCTGGAATTAGGGCGTAACCACTTTTGTAAACAATGCCTTCTCTCGATGGTTTCTAGAAAGCCAAGACTCGCTCACTCAAATCAACGTCACCATCAGGTAGGGGAAGACTTCCGCTTCCCGTTGGTTATGTTGGTTGGCGTGGGAGTGCCTTGAGTTTCGAGAAATCATCGAGAGAAGTCATTGTTTACAAAAGCTGTTACGCCCTAATTTCAGCTCTATCAAGAAATATTGACCGATCTGGGTGGATTTTACCCAAATTTGGTTAATTTTGAAATAGCGTGTAAGAAATAAAGTGCTTTGAATAAAAGTCAAGCACACTGGGCACATATTTAGTACGAATCTGTGTTTTAGTACAATCTCCCGGCATTTTCAAACTGTCATAAAATTACACATGTTTATAAACAAACTTCGCCGATAAACGTTTTTCTTTGCAGAACTTTTCTCTTTCCTGGCATTCGTTTGCACGTAGTATTTTTGAATAATCTGATACATTATGGCTGATAAAAAGGTAAGTAACGACATGCTCTTTGGAAGTAGCAACCCGTTAAACCTTCCCGTTGCAGTCCGGTCCGAGTGGCCCTGGAGGCGGCGGTGGCGGAGGCGGAGGCGGCGGCGGTGGTGGTGGTGGCGATAACAAGGAAAAGCGCCGAAAGGAATCGATCTTGGATCTGAGCAAATACCTCGAGAAAACCATTAGGGTTAAATTTTCCGGTGGTCGGGAAGCGGCTGGCGTTCTGAAAGGATATGACCCTCTGCTCAATCTGGTGCTGGACAATACGGTGGAATTCCTACGAGATCCGGACGACTACAAACTGGCGGAAGAGACGCGACATCTCGGCTTGGTGGTGTGCCGGGGGACGTCGGTGGTGCTAATCTGTCCCCAGGAGGGTATGGAGTCCATTCAGAATCCTTTCATCACGCAGGAAGGTTGAGGTGGGTGGAATGTACATTCTAATCTTTTGGGATTTCTCATGAAGAAGCAAAATCGGGGTCATTCGTTTCACTGTTAATTTATTTTGTTCTTCCAAGATCACGAATCCAGATTCGATGGTTAACAGTAGATTTTCGGTTTGTACAATTTTCAACATCAATGTTCATTCAAATAATAAATTGCATTTCTTTTTTTTTTCGCCGAATAATTCTAGAAAGCTTTGTTTGCTACTGTTTCCCATCAGCATTTTGCGTTCTTTTTGGCACCTAAAAAGTAAGTCTTACAACAAAACCTAAAGTACGTTCTATAAATTAAATATTGCAACAAATAAATTTAACAACAATAAACTTAAACTATTTCAATCTTTCTTCGGGTTTTGTGTTTAAAAGAAAGCCAAACAAAAAAAAAATGCGAGATTCTTACTACCTAGTCGGTGTTGCGTTAAATTAAGCAAAATTAATACTGCTGCTGCTGTTGCTGCTGGGCCTAGTCCAATCCGAACTCGTTCCTTATCCATGGATACTGGGACGGGCATTCGTTGCAGGTGAACAGATATCGGTCCTGCTGCAGGACTCGACTGTGCAGCTTACAGGTACGTGGGAGGTTGCATGCCAGCTCGGTCGGGTCTAGCTGCTTCGGTTGGCAGTACCACGGGTCGAAGTGACCTAGTTGATTTAGCGGGGTTGGATTGCGGATCCATTCGATGGCTTGGTAGTTGGTCACGAAGTACACATCCGGATGCTTCTGCATGTCGTCGAGGAATCTCTGCAATTTTAGAACAGTGGAAAATTTCTGTTAAGTCCTGTGGATATTCAGGTCGATCAAGTATTGTTGTAAAAAAACCCCGATTTTGGATAGGCGCATAATCATGGTCAACATTTTTAAGAAGGAGATTAAAAGAGCGCCGATCAACATATTGGCGCCGGCTTCGTTGACCGGCGTGAGCCTTTTTTTACTGAATAATAAATAAACTCCACATAGTTCTACAGAAGATTAGATTTAAGTTGACCTTAAGCTGCAGCTCTTAAGTGAAAATGTCTTCTTCTTTCACGCATATAAGCTTATTGCGTGTTCCCAACTTAGTGTTCTAGATGCACTTCCACAGTTATTAATTGAGAGCTTTCGATGATTTTCCAACCCAAAAAATTCCTAGACCGAACCGAGAATCGAACCCAGCCACCTACAGGTCTTGCTTTGTAGCTGCACCTTTACCGACTGTGCTAAGGTAGGTGAAAATGTACCTAGGTTTATTATTTATTCGGTATGTTGCGATAGTTTCTTCAGTCGAGTATTAGTACAATACACTGAAGTAGTCTGCATTGTCGACGAAATACGCAATTCTGTCAAGGATAAGTAATTAAGGAAAGTTGAATTAAAAGGAAAATACGAATTCTTCTCTCTTTCTTTATAAAGTTTTTATCAATCTTAGGGAAATTCCAGGCACATCAACGGAAGAGTAACCAGAGTTTCACGAAAGTTCCAAGAACTTCGGGAATGATTAGAGAACTTTAAAGAGATTAATGAAAATTGCATGAGCTTTAAAAAAGTTTCGAGGAATAAAAGGAAATATCGAGGATTTCGAAAAAAAAAAACAATCACGGGATAACAAAAAAACTTTTCTACAATTGCGGGCACTTCAGGGATGCTTTGAGAACCTTCAACTTTTAAGAATAATTGCTAGACTTAAGGGATATCTAGGGAACTACAAAAAAAAAAATCAAGTAAACTTCAGAGAAGTCCAGAGAACTGAAAGTAAATTGAGAAAACTTTAAGGTGATTCCTTGTTGAGTCCACAAATGGCCGCCACCAAAGATATCTAATTAACAAGATGTCCTACTAATAAAATCCTTGAACAAGACAATGGATACATCACCCTTATGTGATCTCATTGCCATCTGGTGAGTGGACATTGAAACTATAGGGTGCCCCCCGCCAACTTCACCACCAGTGCTCAATAAAGGTCCGTTTAGACTATCTGATTTCTTGGTCTGATTTTGATCGCCGCCATAATGACAAATCTACTCGATTTTACTTTCGACACACTTTTTTGAACCCCCTGTTTGTTGTTCACCGACATGAATGACCATAACAAAAACAATAAAATTTCTGACCAAAGCACACTACTGACACCTGGCTCCGTGTTCGCGGGAAATCTTTAACTAAACCTTGAACCCGCATGCAAAAGCTATGAATTGGTTCGTGTCTGATCTATTCTGGTCAAATTATTTTTATCTAGTTCAAAAAATCCTATGGTTTTGACAGTTCGGATCACTGCACATTTAAATCGGCCGTTTACGATTTTCGGACATAATTCAGAATTAAGTGTCATGTCGGTTTGTCGGTGTTCACACTGCTTGCACATGTCGAAAGAACTGTCAGTTTAGATTTCAAAACAAAATTGTATCAGGAATCAAAAGTAAATACTTCATTACCGAAAAATTGCTCTAGCTTCGGCAGGCGTATTCACTTTTATTATTTTAAATAAATTTAGGAAGGAGAAGGTGAACTTTGTGGAGTAGGAAATGATTGCTCAGTAGAGACACCGGTAGGGATCTGGCTCATATTGTCTTTCAAGAACTGCGATATAAAGACGAAAAAGGATTTCAAAACTTTGCCATGATGTCGATACCAACTTTCGACAAGTTCTCAATAAATCTACATGATTCCTTGCGTTCTGCCAATTTCTGTTAAGATCTCAATTCTTCATATTTCTCTGAAGACCTTCGGATGTCCCTGAAGTTTTGTTTCTGTTCACTGGTAAAATATCTTTGAAGATGAACAATCTTTCCTGAAGATCTGAAAAATTCCCGGTAGTTCTGCAGATTTCTTAGAAATCCTGTCTGTTCTTCAGAAGTTCTGCAAATTTATCTAAAACTCTAAAAAAGTTCCTGAATCCATGCATGATCCTTAAATATCAACAATTATCACTGATGTTCACTAAATTTCTAATAATCTACTCGAAAGTTCTGTAAGTTTCTCTGTAAATTTTCATGATTCAATGAATATCTGCAAATATCCCTGAAAATCTACACCATTTCCTTGAGTATAAAAAAATGTATTATCAATTGTTGAGCTTCTCGGAAATTTAAGGAAGTTCTCTAAAGATCTACTAATTTGTCTGAAGTTGTACAAATATCTGGTCGGTAAATGCTGGGTAATGCGCAATACAGATCCCATTGAGATCACTAGCCTCTTCCCAGCAACTCCTATCCCTACCTCCCCGTGGTACCGGCCGGGAACTGTGAGCAACCTTAGGGAAGATCGGGTAACCAACCCCGGTGGGAACTTTGGTCATAGGCTGACAGGGAAGGGGGGGGGGGTTTGCTTCAGCAAGCCTGAGCGTTTGTTCCCCATGTTATGGGCGGCTGATCTACGTCCGAGTGCCAGTGAAGGACTCTAAGCACAACTGTGCACCCTGGTCCTCCGGAAAGTTAGGGGGTTGGTGTCAGGCCCTGCGAGCCAGCCGTAAAAAAGCATTGCAACGGAAAATCAGCAACAGAGGAATACGAACCGAGACCAACGGCAACGACCCCAGCGACGAAATAGGACTTTCGATTGGAAACTCGGCACGTGGAACTCTCGATCTCTCAATTTCATCGGGGCACCCGAATACTCTACTGAAGGACCGCGGATTCGGCATCGTAGCGCTGCAGGAGGTGTGTTGGACAGGATCCATGGTGCGAACGTTTAGAGGTAATCATAGCATCTACCAGAGTTGCGGCAACACACGCGAGCTGGGCACAGCTTTCATCGTGATGGGTGAAATACAGAAGCGCGTCATCCGTTGGTGGTTGATCGACGAAAGAATGTGCAGGTTGATGATCAAGGGCCGATTCTTCAACTTCTGCATAATCAACGTGCACAGCGCTCACTCCGGAAGCACTGATGATGACAAGGACGCATTTTACGCGCAGCTCGACCGCGAGTACGATCGCTGCCCAAGCCACGATGTCAAGATCATCATAGGAGACCTAAACGCTCAGGTAGGCCAGGAGGACGAATTCAGACCGACGATTGGAAAGTTCAGCGCCCACCAGCTGACGAACGGGAACGGCCTACGACTCATAGATTTCGCCGCCTCCAAGAACATGGCCATACGTAGCCCCTTCTTCCAACACAACCTTCCTTATCGTTACACCTGGAGATCACCACAGCAGACAGAATCGCAAATCGACCACGTTCTGATTGATGGACGGCACTTCTCCGACGTTATCGACGTCAGGACCTATCGTGGCGCTAACATCGACTCTGACCACTATCTGGTGATGGTCAAACTGCGCCCAAAACTTTCCGTCATCAACAATGTACGGTACCGACGCCCGCCACGGTACAACCTAGAGCGACTGAAGCAACCGGATGCCGCCTTAGCATACGCGCAGAATCTCGAGGCAGCGTTGCCAGAGGAGGGCGAGCTTGATGTGCCCCCTCTAGAGGCCTGCTGGAGTACAGTAAAAGCAGTCATCACCGACGCAGCCGAGAGCATCATCGGGTACGTGGAAAGAAGTCGACGGAATGAATGGTTCGACGAGGAGTGCAGAGCGATTTTGGAGGAGAAGAACGCAGCGCGGGCGGTAATGCTGCAGCATGGAACCCGACAGAACGTGGAAACAGCAGACCCGCATCTTTCGGAAGAAAAAAAGCCGCCTGGAAGAAGCGGAGTGCGAGGAAATGGAACTGCTGTGCCGTTCCCAAGAAACACGGAAGTTCTGCCAGAAGCTCAACGCATCCCGCAACGGCTTCTTGCCGCGAGCCGAAATGTGCAAGGATAAGGACGGGAGCCTCTTGACGGATGGACGTGAGGTGATTGAAAGGTGGAAGCAGCACTTCGAGGCGTACCTGAATGGCGAGGAGAACGTAGGCACGGGAGACCAGCGCAATGGAGGAAACGACTACGTCAGTGCAGCAGAGGACGGAACTGACCCAACTCCCACGCTGAGGGAAGTTAAGGATGCCATTCAGCAGCTCAAAAACAACAAAGCAGCTGGTAAGGATGGTATTGCAGCCGAACTCATCAAGATGGGCCCAGAAAAGTTGGCCACCAGCCTGCACCGGATGATAGTCAGGATCTGGGAAACAGAACAGCTACCGGAGGAGTGAAAGGAGGGGGTCATCTGCCCCATTCACACAAAAGGCGACCATTTGGAATGTGAGAACTTCAGAGCGATCACCATTTTGAATGCCGCCTACAAAGTGCTATCCCAGATCATCTTCCGTCGTCTATCACCTAAAATGACCGAGTTCGTGGGAAGTTATCAAGCCGGCTTCATCGACGGCCGATCGACAACGGACCACATCTTCACCGTACGGCAAATCCTCCAGAAATGCCGTGAATACCAGGTCCCAACGCATCATTTGTTCATCGACTTTAAGGCGGCATACGACAGTATCGACCGCACAGAGCTATGGAAAATCACGGACGAGAACGGCTTTCCTGGGAAGCTGATCATACTGATCAAAGCAACGATGGACGGTGTGCAAAACTGCGTAAGGGTTTCGGGTGAACTATCCAGTTCATTCGAATCTCGCCGGGGACTGCGACAAGGTGACGGACTCTCATGCCTACTCTTCAACATTGCTCTAGAAGGTGTAATGCGACAAGCCGGGCTCAACAGCCGGGGTACGATTTTCACGAAATCTGGTCAATTTGTATGCTTTGCGGACGACATGGACATTATCGCAAGAACATTTGGAACGGTGGCAGAACTATACTTCTTCTTCTTCTTCTTCTTCTTCTTCTTCTTCTTCTTCTTCTTCTTCTTCTTCTT